AGACAATCCAGTGATTGACATCATGAACATCGATCCACGCAATTGGGATCGATGACATACATCAACCAAGTCAGCGAGCCTGACGACCCGATCCCGTTAGTCGCCTTTTACGACAAGCATGGGTTGCTGAAGACCTATTCTACCCCGGATCTTCACGGGTCAGTGCTCATATGAGGGGATACTGCCATATCCATGTTCAAGAAACCCACACCTGTTGTAGAGTTGCACAGGATCCTTGAGTGCCTTTGACACTCGTTCAGTTTGATTTTTCCTTGTTGGACATTGAACATTATTTGATGCCATAACTTTGGGATTGTTCCTATCGATGTTGATGTGTGGACGCTACCTGGATGGATTTTGGAGTTGCAACTTTCTGTGTTTCATGTTGGAGAGCTCCGATTTTAGTAACTTGCTTTGTCTCAAATTGGCCATGACAGATCTGTCTGACAGTGACATGTTGCGGTTTTATCTGTTTGTACAGGTTTAACGACAGATGCATAAGAATGTCCTGTTGTGTTAACAGATGCAACTAATTTTGGCTGTTTCCTGGCATCGAAGTAACTGATGTTTTGTTCATATTATGTTTTTGGACAACGGCTTGAAACTTATATTCACAGCAGTCTGTTGAGGAAGACATCATGACCCTGACAAATAGAGTATTTGAGAGGCTGAGGTGTTACCATCATGATCAAGTTGACCACATCTGAAGCAAGTGGCTTTACGTGTGCATGAATTCTGCCCACGTCCAAATTTCTGACATTTAAAACAGCTAGTAGATCGTGGTGTGTAGAGACGTGGGGAAAACAGAGGTGGGGAAACAACCAACTTTAATGCTTTGGTTTCAATCACAACTTGACTTCGAAGTTCAGATACAATTTCGTTAATGGTTTCTTAAGCCAGACTGTGACCGTGGTCTCGGATTATGCCCTTGCTGAAATTTGGGTCTTGCGAGCAGAACAGGTATATCGGTACATCATGAGCTTGTGGTTTCCAGGTGCATTTAATCAAAAGTTGTAATTGCTTTACCCTGGATATCCCTTTCGGAATCCAACAACCGGGTCACTGAATTGGGCACGGAATCAGATGCTGACAGTTGCCGGGGTTTTTTAAATTATTTTTTTATTGTGTTTACCCATTGTTATACATATTGGGGTTCAGCAAACCTACTCCCTGCCCACCACGTAGCACCAACAAGGGCGATGTCATATGTAAGCGGTATTCCAGCAAATGTAACACCATCTGGCTACAGGTATGTTATACTCCAGAGTGGGTTAAACGCCGCTTTTAACAGTATTCCAGTTATATCACGGCGTGTCAGCTTAATGTGGGAGGAAAGCCCGAAGTGATGCAGGTCTCAGACTTTTTGGTGCTGACAAACCTGGAAACATAATCGGGGCAAACCGGGATTCGAGCCCACAATCATAGGTTTCTGGCGTGCCCAAGGGACGCAACTCTGCACAGCGAATCGCGGCGCCTAAGACGACTGGGCCACCCGTGCCCCCTTATACTCCAGATGATTAACTAGATTGACCCATAAGCCACCGCCTTCTTTGTATACACTGTGGGCAAGTTTCATAAACTTGATGAATAGAAGACTATTTGAAAAGTATGCGGATTGAGTCAAACCATATCAAAAACTTCATCCACATGGCTTGACGTGATCAGCCGATTGATAAAACTGGGCCCATTCTACCACCCGTCCAGGTGAAGTCAGTGTCGTGGTGGTGTGTTGGGCAAAAGGAAAACTGTTCCTGGCCCCAGTGCCCGCAGCCACCAGACTACCTTCATCCACAGGAACAGGTTGCCCAATTTAGTCGCCTCTAAAGACAAGAAATGAGGTACTGAGGATACATTGTACACCAGGCCCTACGTGCGAAGAGCTATCAGCGTTACCCAGCACTCACCACGTGGAGGTTGCTCTTTGTGAGTGCCCTTCACACAAAAGCATTAGGGGAAGAATTACTGCTCTTCAAAACAAGCTTTCTACACTCAGAAATGATATGCCCTGGCTCATGGCAATATCTACAAGTAGGCTCCGACGAAAGTCAAGAAGTATCTTAAAATCCAACAGGAATAGAACTTGACCTTTTCGTCCACAAACTCAAAACCAGACTTAAAAACTAGGTCAAGGAAGGGATGAACTGTCCTTTCCAGATTTGTAACCATGCAAAATCCTGCCTGAAAACCCTGACTGCTTAAAACTCACTCTGTGAGTTAGCAAATAATCATCAGCCAAAGTAGAAGTCTGGTGTAACTGATCCACTTTTTGCTCATCAAGATATGTCCGAATGTCCGTTAACACACGGCTTAAAATCATCCAGCAAAAACAACTGCCTCAAACTAACAAAATTACCATTGACATTTTCATCACCTAGCAAACAAAGCTTACTTCTTTGTAACAAACTCAACAAAAGTAGAACCATCGTTTTTCTTAGCAGACCTAAACTTATGCCTATAAGCTTCAGGAACTAAATAACAAACCTTCAAAACTTCAGCCTTAACAACCTGATAAACAAAACTCCTATCAATAGTTGAGAAAGAATAAACTTCCTGAGCATTTCCCCTTAACACTCTTGCAAAACATTGTCCACTGGTTCTTAGGCCATTTCAAACCATCGTTTCGAAAGGTAACAAAAAATTCAAAATCACATTCAGAGAAGAGCGGAACAAGACTAATCTGCTTTGAGAGATCAAACGAGTTGTCACCAGTCGAATTTCTGAGACAGAAATAATCAGAGATCAGATAATCAGAGATGTAATTCAAGTTGTTTCAGCTTAATTTCTTTATGAATCCGAAATTCTCACTCTTCTTTTCATTTTCAGCGTTTAACTTCTCAGCTTCCAATCTCAATTTTTCTATCTCCGGGGTTCGATCCCCAGCCGCGTCATACAAAAAGACGATAAAAGATGGTACTTGTTGTTACTCTGTCTGGCGCTCGGCATTATGGGGCTAAAACAAGGACTGGTCGGCTCAGAGTCAGTATACCGTGTCTGAGTGGGGTATTCATGTTGAACTGCGGCATGGTATCTCAGTGAGCTAGCACTATAAATCGGCATCAGTCCGGACTAGTACAAGCAGCCACACAGAACACGTGCATGCACGTCGCTATATAAGTGCAATAATCTTGGACGCGACATTAAACCCCTTTCCACCTCACCTCAATATTCACGCGCCCATAATAACATCCAGACATGTTTCATATGAGCGCAACAGAATAGATAGACCATTTTCATTTCAGCCGATAATATGCTTGGGGAATGTTGGTTATCTGCGATCCTGGAACAGATTCTAGAAGGATGGCTGTACCTATATGAGGGCGACGAGAGGGAGATTGGAGATCTTCTCGACCTGACAGTTTTTCACCCGAAATGGGATCGTCTTGGAAATGATTCACTCCACTTTAGTTGAGTAGAGCTTAACAGGTTGTGTAGGAGGCACCCTATATGCTCCAGGGGAATAACCTACTTCTCATGAATAGAACAGGAGAAGAAATACCGCTCCACATCTCACCCTAACGTGACACGGCCTCGTTGAACAACGTGTACTGAATCACAGGAATATTTTAATTGAAAATGATATAATACTGAAAAATACAATTCACACCCAAGGAAATGTGCACAAGAGAATTGTTGGAGGCTATGCAAGTTCGGGAACAGTTGAAAAGTTCGATGCCAGATAGTGTTTTAAGAAATACCACACACACACAGGCACGCACACACACATACATTCTCTCACACCCGCTCATACGCACGCACGCATATATAAACACGCACCTACGCAAGCGCACACACTCATACACCCACATGCACATGCACATGCACATGCATATACGCACAATCATGTACTTGTGTCTTGTCAAGTGCGGATGAAACAAATCAACTGCTTGAAATTTTAAACGTCAACGTAAGTGAGTAACCAGTCTCGATTATCTGCCGGAACAGATGTCATTGCGCATAAAAGGTAAAGATAAAACGAATGGATTACTGAAAATCCCCGGATTCCCGCCAGCTTCCAACACTATTCTGGATTAAGGAAACAAACACAGACCTATTTCATACGGAAGCCTTTTAGGGACATTTGTTTTTTTTATAGTTTTTGTTTTGAATTTTCAAGATACTATGTTGAAATTTCAAGCTACTCAAATTAAATTTCTAGTTAGTATCTTGACGTTTCAAGTTAATATTTTTAAATTTCAACTTATTATCTTACAATTTCAACATATTATCTTGAAATTTCAAATTAGTATCTTAAAATTTCAAATTAGTATCTTGAAATTTAAACCAAAAAAACAAAAAACAAATAGCCCTTAAAGGCTTCCGTAATTTCAAGACATTCGGCAGTGACACAATTCTTGGCATTCGAGAGTGTACGACCCTCAATTATAGGGCCTGTTACTTACTGACGCTGCCATGTCTATTTGACCCATTGTATTTCCTTTGTTAATGTTAACCTGAGACTGTGTGTTTGCAGATAAAGCATTGATTATTCATTGATCTTGTGTGGTCATTTACTAATTTCACAATTTAGCTCTACCGATTTCAGGGTTAACCTTTGCGAAATCCCCAATCACAATGGTTTTTCTTTTTAAAAAAACTATTCAGGCTCATACACATGAAGTTTCAATTAAATAAATAATCTGTTTTTTGCAGCTTTAACATTACTAAGGCACGGGTGGACCAGGCGCCGCGATTCACCGAAGTGGTAAACGTCTGAGACCTGCATCACTTCGGGCTTTCCTCCCACATTAAGCTGACACGCCGTCATAAAACTGGAACACTGTTAAAAGCGGCGTTAAACCCAACTCACCCACTGACTTTAACATTACTGAAAATGTCTAATCTCCATTCCGAATCCCAGGAGAAATCCCGAATCATCAACAGTAATCCATTGCTGTCGAGGCCATCCATAAGGATTTCGGCATCGCTGAAGTGAACGTTGACGGCGATGATGTGTCCGAACAATGCCGTGGAATGGTCTGCGAGCTCAAATTCCTGCTTACCTCAAACGACTCCTGACAGTTTTGTCGGGGATTCTGCACAGACCTGTGGCTACAGAAATAGTAGAGGGGTGTTAAGAAGCGGTAACGGGGGAGACGCAAGCGGATGAAGTTGTCCTCCAGAATAAGATACATCCTCTACATTTCCAGGGCTCGCATCTCAGCAAACCTACGCTAACCACTGGATTTCAAATTCATGTTGATCAATAACAATAACTAATCGTCGTAATAATACTCTGTAGTGAGTGAGTGAGTTGGTTTAACGCCGCTTTTTAACAATATTGCAGTTATATCACGGTGTGTCAGCTTAATGTAGGAGGAAAGCCCGAAGTGATCCAGGTCTCAAACGTTTACCACTTCGGCGAAACCCACGAGCGCGGGTAGGGTGCTGACAAACCTAGAAACATAATCGGGGCGAACCGGGATTCGAGCCCACAATCAAAGGTTCCTGACGAGCCCAAGGGACGCAACTCTGCACAGCGAATGACGGTGCCTTAGACGACTGGGCCACTTGTGCCCCCTGATACTCTGGAAATGAACAACCTGTACGTGTGCGTTGAGGAAGATGTGGTCCACGCCTTCTATTGGGCCATGCACTAATAACAGTTAAATCAAGACACTTTTTTCTGTAAATATCAACAGTTTAAGGGTATTGTACGTGTGTGTGCGCTCTTGTTTGGGTGTACGTATCTGTACGTGTGTGTGTGTGTGTACATGATTGTGCGTATATGCGCGTGCATGTGCATGTGGATGTATGAGTGTGTGCGCTTGCGTAGGTGCTTGTCTATATATGCGTGCGTGCGTATTAGCGGTTGCGTAAGAATGCACGAGTATGTGAGAGTGCGCCTATGTGTGTGGTATTTCTTAAAACACTATCTGGCATCGAACTTTTGAACTGTTCCCGAACTTGCATAGCCTGCAACAATTCTCTAGTGTAAATTTCTATGGGTGTGAATTGTATTTTTCAGTATTTTATCATTTTCAATTAAAATATCCCTGTGATTCAGTACACGTCATTAACGAGGCCGTGTCTCGTTACGGTGAGATGCGGAGCAGTATTTTTTCTCTTTTTCGATTTGTTAAGAAGTAGGTTATTCCCCTGAAGGATATAGGATGTTTTTACACTTCTTGTTAAGCTCTACTCAACTAAAGTGAAGTGAATCATTTCCAAGACGAACACATTTCAGGTGCAAAACTGTCAGGTCCAAAAGATCACGAATCACCCTCTTGTCACCATTATGTAGGCACAGCCAGTCTTCAACAAACTGTTCCATCCCGAAACTGTTTGAAAGAAAATACCTGCAATGTTCATGGTTACACAAGGACAGATAACACTAAATTACTTCCTGTCTCCGGCTATTAAAATTTGGTCAAGGCAGCACTCGACATTTCTCTCGAAGTTCGATCATTTGCTAACACAGATACTTGCTACAAATACATTTACAACAGTTTCTAAAATTACTTAGAAAATAACAGCAGTCATTTCGTGTAAGTTCTGCAACAGGATAGGAATAGCATCCCCAGACAATTGACTCTTGTTGATTCCGTGGGTCGGCGGTATCTGGTCATACACGATATTAAAGTGTTGTGTCTATTTTTTTTAATATTTTTCAAATACTGGCAATCAAGACGATTATATACTTTTGTAACCAACCGTGCAGCTCTTTTTGAGAAAATTCGGTGTGTTCAGTTATGCCTTTAATTTCTAATAAGAAATTATATTCATCTTCCATTCCCAGATTTGACAAATTCGTAATGACCTATGTTCAGCCACCTCCACACGTTCATCTTTAACTGAATGAATATTTATTTCAGTTTTATCGGAAATATTGGCTGAAATAGTCATTAATATAAAATGTTCACATATGCGTGTGATGTCGTCATTAAAGATCAACACTATAATGAATGTTCTTTTTTGCTTCAACATTGTTTTTGGATGAACTGCTATCACACTTCAAAAGCTGGTTCTGGCTTGTAACACGTTTTTGATTCACATTTGTATGCATTCTTCTGGGATTTAATTATTAAATACAATGCATTGAAAGGAGCAATTTGGGCCCAAACGAGAAACTATGGAAATTTGAACATGATATCAATCTATCTAAGGTTGGGATCTCTGAGGGGTCACGGGTCGCCCAGTCGTCTAAGGCGCCGCGATTCGCTGTGCAGAGTTGCGTCCCTTGGGCACGCCAGAAACCTATGAGTGTGGGTTCGAATCCCGGTTCGCCCCGATTATGTTTCTAGGTTTGTCAGCACCCTACCCGTGCTCGTGGGTTTCACCGAAAAGGTAAACGTCTGAGACCTGCATCACTTCGGGCTTTCCTCCCACTTTAAACTGACACGCCGTGATATAACTGGAATACTGTTAAAATCGGCGTAAAACGTAACTCATTCGCTCGGATCTCTGAGGTGGTACAACGCCATGATGCTATTCAAGCTTAGGGAACCAACTGCAGGTCTAAGATCTCTATTTTACTCCTGTATCATGACTGTGGAATATATTATAGAAACCACCGAAGACCCGGCTTCGATTCCCCACATGGGTACAATGTGTGAAGCCCATTTCTGGTGTCCCCCGCTGTGATATTGCTGGAATATTGCTAATATCGGCGTCAAACCATTCTCACTCACTCACTCCATTCAATATATGAAATCTGCATCATGGAAAATGTTTTAGAGAAGAGATATGTATTGCATAATGTCATATTTTATAGATTACATGTCGGTCTATCCTTCGCATGTATTTAGGATGAAAATCGTGCTTGTTGCTTTTTCTACCAGAAGCTCTGTTATCAATGTCTGCGAGTCTACTGGGTCCGAATGTTCTGATTTGTACTTGAAATAAAATAAACCACACATGATTAGAGGTTTGTGCAGGATCTCAGATAACCAACATTTCGCAAGCATATTATCGACTGAAATGAAAATAGAAACTATTCTGTTGCGCTTATTTGTAACATGTCTGGGTGTTATCATGTGTTATCATGTGCTTCTTGAATATTCTGCAGTCAAATGTCAGTATACAATGCCGATTGATTATTAGATTCAAATAAATGCAATTTAACTATCACTTATAATTTTAACTCAGACACCGGATCAAATTCCATTAACGTCGGTCTTATTGTAACAAGCAAATAATACGACACTGCCCGTGGACCTCGTTATTATAAAACAATGCATGTTTCATGCAATGGTAATTATCCAGCAATATAAGAATCAATGAGACAACTTTTTACGTCAATTATGTCGTGTTTTTCTTGTTAATTGGTTGGTCGTCTCTGCTACATGTCTTAGAGTATCACTTTGCTACCAGTATCCACGGTCAGTGGGTAATTTCCCTCTTGTGCTTATAACCTTTATCTGTGAACATCTTACTCGTGTGGGGGCGGTCGGGTAGCCTAGTGGTTAAAGCGTTCGCTCGTCACGCCGAAGACCCGGGTTCGATTCCCGACATGGGTACAATGTGTGAAGCCCATTTAAGGTGTCCCCCGCCGTGATAGTGCTGGAATATTGCTAAAAGCGGTGTTAAATCATACTCACTCACTCACTCACTCTTACTCGTGTATGACTGAAACTTATTGTACGTCAATCAAAACAGTGTACTCTATTACTTCTATAAAATGAGTGCGCAATCAACAATGCTGGAAGCTTTCGTAAAATATAAAATTCAAGAACTCCCGAAGGTCTTGCTTCGGAATTGTTAATTTGTCTTCACCACTGCACCCATTGGCTACATGATACCCAGCACTTAAAGTCAACCACTGTACACCCATTAGCTACATGATACCCAGCACTTGAAGTCAACCACTGTACACCCATTGGCTACATGATACCCAGCACTTGAAGTCAACCACTGTGCACCCATAAGCTACATGATACACACCACTTGAAGTCAACTACTGTAACCCCATTGGCTACATGATACACAGCACTTGAAGTCAACCACTGTACACCCATTAGCTACATGATACACAGCACTTGAAGTCAACCACTGTACACCCATTAGCTACATGATACACAGCACTTGAAGTCAACCACTGTACACCCATTAGCCACATGATACCCACCACTTGAAGTCAACCGCTGTGCACCCATTAGCTACATGATACCCACCACTTGAAGTCAACCACTGTACACCCATTGGTTACATGATAACCAGCACTTGAAGTCAACCACTGGACACCCATTGGCTACATGATACCCAGCACTTGAAGTCAACCACTGTACATCCATTGGCTACATGATACACAGCACTTGAAGTCAACCACTGTACACCCATTAGCTACATGATACACAGCACTTGAAGTCAACCACTGTACACCCATTAGCCACATGATACCCACCACTTGAAGTCAACCGCTGTGCACCCATTAGCTACATGATACCCACCACTTGAAGTCAACCACTGTACACCCATTGGTTACATGATAACCAGCACTTGAAGTCAACCACTGGACACCCATTGGCTACATGATACCCAGCACTTGAAGTCAACCACTGTACATCCATTGGCTACATGATACACGGCACTTGAAGTCAACCACTGTACACCCATTGGCTACATGATACCCAGAAGTTGAAGTCAACTACTGTACACCCATTGGTTACATGATAACCAGCACTTGAAGTCAACCACTGTACACCCATTAGCTACATGACACACACCACTTGAAGTCAACCACTGTACACCCATTGGCTACATGATACACAACACTTGAAGTCAACCACTGTGTACCCATTGGCTACATGATACCCAGCACTTGAAGTCAACCACTGTACACCCATTGGCTACATGATACCCTGCACTTGAAGTCAACCACTGTACACCCATTGGCTACATGATACCCTGCACTTGAAGTCAACCACTGTACATCCATTGGCTACATGATACCCTGCACTTGAAGTCAACCACTGTACCCCCATTGGCTACATGATACACAGCACATGAAGTCAACCACTGTACACCCATTGGCTACATGATACCCAGAACTTGAAGTCAACCACTGTACACCCATTGGCTACATGATACACGGCACTTGAAGTCAACCTCTGTACCCCCATTGGGTACATGATACCCAGCACTTGAAGTCAACCACTGTACACCCATTGGCTACATGATACACGGCACTTGAAGT